TTAACCCTAAACCCTGGAAAGTTTGCGGTTTTTCGGTTCTGGCTTATAGGCTTATAGAGGATCTAGGGGCTTCGGAATGAAGATTTGGGGTTTGGGGATTTAAGTGTTTGGGATTGGGGTTCGAATGGTTCAGGCTTTTAGGGCATAGTCTTTTGAGTTTAGGGATGCAAGTCGATAATTCAGGGATTTGGCTTTGGGGGTCACTCACAAGCAGAGGTACCCTTGCGTATCCTGGAATCATGCAGGATTCCACTGGAAATCCTGAGATTCTACTGAGGATCAGGCAGGGGGTGTTCTTTCAAACTCAAATGCGATTCTGATGATTCATGATAAAGCGCCCCTTATAGCATTCGACTGGTGCTTCTTCTGCAACTCTACTAGGGTAGGTTTGGGGCCCCTGTAGACATGACAATTTATTGCTTTATAAGGATTATGTTCATGGTAACAGAGATTTCAAATTGCTTTCGAACCTGTTTTCTAGCGCACAGAGCTCACAGTTGTCTGGAGAGTAGAAAGTGGGGTTTGGGGCCTGCAAGCGCATTACTGAATGGGAGCGGTGGCTTTCTGCAAACTTCTTGCAATGCTTCCGGGCATTGAACCCAACCTAACCTTACTCACGTGAAAGATCCTTCTATCCTTCTCTACATTTGCCAGAAACCATGGGAATTTGACATGAATTGCTGGGGATCCAATGTTTGAAGTCTGTCTCTTTTTGACGGGTTTCTTTGGTGGAGGTGCCGATAACCCCCTCTAGGGTCATGCAGCAGGCCCTCAAAGCAAGGGAGAACCGCAGTTTGCTCCGCTGCGCGATCACGAACCCAAGTCTCACACACTGTGCTTTCAAAGAAGCAAAAGCTTGAAAGCTCCACGTGAGACCCTGTGACAAAGAGCATTTAAAGGGTTCAGTAGTGCTGAATTGAAAGTAGCAATACCAGTCTCGTCAAAATTCAATACACAAAGCAACGGAAGGAAACCTCTACCCTCCGGTTTCGGTTTTAGACGCTCATTTGGCCACCGTTGCGGGTCACGTAAGGTCCATGTAAGATTTGGTCCTTCTTACCAAGAACTATACCCAAGAAGGAGGATCTAGTCTTACTCTATGTTTGGAACTCAATCGCATGGCGGATCTTTTGTTTTTGCTGAAACTTGATTTAGGCCTCGCGCTTCCTTAGTGCAGATGAGGGCTTGAAAAGGATTCTGCTCATACGGTTAGACTACATGTACCTTTACAAACAAAACCATGAGCGACCAAGGAGTATTGCGACCATGATTTTTTGAGTTTTGCACTAGGCTTCTGCGCTTCCAGTTGCCAAGTGCAACCTACCACAGATGCTCCCTATTCGCTTGACCTAGGAGCTGGATGGCTCTCTGACTTAAAACCCGTCCACAAGAACTCAACTCAATGTCAAGGCAATATCGAATCTGAAGTTGCTTCACGCAATTCTTCCTAAACCTCCCCAACAATGTTCCAAAACAACACCTGCTGCCTTCTACCATGAGCCACAATGTTAGTACTCTTCGCTGAGCCTGAACAAGGTAAGGTACGCACGTGACCCATGACTACCATAAGAATGACAAGTTTCCGCACCCTAAACGTCATGCCAAGAAGGGACAGGAATCCAAGCCGCCAGTGGATAACAATGAAACATACAAGGACATCTGCTACGTTTTGCGATGTTTAGGTTATCATGCATTCCCCTACGACCCCCTTATACTACCCCGCCAGGCTCCCCCCTAAATTCAGGTTATTTAGGGATAATCAGGCTTAATTCGGGCAAATTCCGGGGAAACCAAGGGTGTTTTCTAGGGGAACTCATGATGTTAAAGCAAAAGTTTCAGGAAGGTGAAATTTGTTGCAGCCAGGTGGCTCTGTCCCCGTCGGAGGGGGGGAGGCCCCCTGAGGTGGCAACACATCAGCATCATTATTGTTGCTCTTTTGTTAGTATTGCTATTTGTATTATGGATGTTTGTTATACTTTTACTAAGAGTATTCTCATTCATCTTGTATTCTACTATAGCTGAAGGGGTGCTCCCAAGCTCCGCATACCATCATTATTCTTACTGTCGCTTGCAAGCACCCTTTCCTCGTAATGACTTCGATGATTTCAATTAGTGCAGTAACTCATTAGCAGTGGCACGGCGTGGTCTAAGCGATGGCTGGACCGCTCGTGCGAACCCGAAATGCTGGTACTCCAAATACAGCATTCTATTTGTGCCTCAAAGTTCCCGAGTCATTGAAGTTGGCCTGACTACTCGAAGTGTAAAAATGTTGGGCTGTCCTTAGGGGTAACTCCAGTAGACCCTGAACAATGTAGTTTCGACGTTCTTTTCCATTGTCCCTATATATATAACCCTATATAACCCTATCTAACCCTATATTACCCCATATAACCCATGATGGTAGTTTCCATTTTCTTTTCCATTATCCCTATATAACTCTATATAACCCCATTTCACCCATTATAGTAGTTTCCATTTTCTTTTCCATTATCCCTACATAAACCCTATATAACCCTATACAACCTATTAATTATTGCACTTTCCATTTTCTTGTCCATCCTCCCATATCTTTGGAGTGTAGCTTCTCACACCAGGCCTCGGTTTCCTTTGCCACCTCCAGCGGGCTGCTGGTGGGGTCCTAGGACTCGTTTAGGGGTTTAGGGATCAGGTGTGGAGTTCAGGGTCCAGGGTTTAGGGTTCGAAATTTCGGGCTTCAGGGGATAGGATTAAGGGCTTCAAGTTTGGGAGCATAGGAATTCAGTTTGTGGTGGTGACAGATAAGGACTTGGAAGGGATGCTCCCCTTTCGTTCTCGTTGGTAAGGGGAAGTATATTGGCCTCTACTACACATGGCCACAACACGCAACATATTTCTCAGACACAGGCGCCCTGCTTAGTGCTCGTGAGATTTTGTAACATTGCGCAATCGGGATTCCAAAGGTATCATTCAACTAAGGGTCCCCCTTTCAAGGCTTATATACACATGTTCTGAACTTAGCCCACATTACCCTAGGGAGAAAAAAGGATCCTTTTTACATAAATATAAGGAATCCCATACCCCAAAAAAGTATAAAGGATCCCTAACATTGATCCAGTGAACTATACGCGGATTACAGCAGTGCCCTGACAATCCGGCTCCTCCTTTGAAGTGGGAGTGCCAGATCCGCGGGTGCAATTCCAAACATGGGGTCTAAAATTAGGGGGGCCATTTTGGAGGTCCCAATACCAAGGATTAGAATATTTTGATGTCTATATTTGGGTCCACGATTTTGCGAAGGTACCACATTAAGCCTGTTCCCTTTCCAGCCGTGTGAAGAGCTCACGCGGTCTTCGCCCAGACTAAACTTAACCAAGATCAGAGCGGGCTGCCAAAGGATAACGAAAGGTCTTGGCAAGTTTGTATAGATGCCAGTTATCCATCAAAACTATGGTCACCTTTTGGGGACTATGTCTGAGCTGTGTAAGCCAATGTAACGTATTTACCAGGTTATGTAAGGGACCTGCAGAATCAGCTGGATCCTTGCTTGAAGCAACAACTTGACATCGTGAGGAAACTGGACTAGCAAAGATGAATGTGCATTACGCCTCGGATGTATCTGGTTAGTTGCAAGAGTGTCAGGCATGCGTTTGTAACTACGAGCACACTGTCAAGAAAGAAATGATGATGAATATCAGCCACTGTGATTCCGATATTTGTTTTGTGACGGTGCATCGAAAAAGCATCTGAGATTGGGGCGGTCTGCTGCTTCTGCGGCTCTGTCATTTCAGACCTCACTTCCGACGAGATCACTGAAGGGCATGAGCAGTTTCTTCTTGAAGCTCATGCACGCCAAGTTGAGAAGCAGCCCCTGGATGATTTGATCCCTCTATAGACTCTTGGAGTTGGAGGGGCTGCTACGTAGAAACTCACACTCCAACCAAAATCTGGGAGTCTCCTCTTCACCCTTACTTACTGGTTCTTAGTAGGGAGTGAGGGAATATTATTCCTTTTTAATCCCCACATAATGTACTCCCTTCTTCCCTACTGAGAACCAGTAAGCTGAAGGGTTATGATGCGCTGGAGCTCGGCTTGAGGAAGTGCCAAAGAAGTCGGAGTTTCTCAAATGTGCGGGGGTACCTTTAAAGGGGGATATAGGGGTTATAATATAGGAATATATAAGGGTTATATAGGGATATATAAGGGTATATAGGGTTTTAGGGTCTCCCAAAATTGGGTGTACCTTTTAGGGTCCGTAGAATAAGAACTATAATATTTTAGGGTCTACATTGGGATCCCCGAATTTTGGGAGACTTGTTCTTGCATGCCTTTCCGTTCCAATGGTGGGAGTGTCTATACAGTGGCTTACTGCAATTTGGCAAGAGTACGGCGGACCCCCCACTTTTTGAAAATACCTGCATCGGAATTGCCGGCAGGACTACTCATATCCTGATGCTACGCCAGAGTCCTGCAGGTCTTTTGTTCTCTGTCTGGGCAAACTTTGAGGACTGCCTCTTCCGGTCCAGTATTTAGCCACAAGAATAGCATCAGGAATGCGCTCATGAGGTAAGAATGTCAGCTGATGTCGGCCGTTGCATAGCCTGCGCTTAGTCTCCTCCAGGCAGCAGCTGTCCCAAGCCGGCTGTGCCCATGTAGCGTCACTCGGAACGTTGGCTCAAGTGTGAGGCTGAGATCTCACCAGTTGGGCATAGGAAATTGCTGCCAGATTGGGCTTTAGAAGTCTGGAATTCAAGTCGTGGGATGCGCCCTGACAGACCAGCAGTTGCGTCCTTAAAGTGCCTTTCCCCTAGTTAGCTATGATCCAAGCGAGCAAGTGCTTGGGAAGCAAGCATCAGCAATCTGACCATGCATTTCCCTCCAAGTCCATTGCTGGATCACGATAAGACGCCCAGCAGCAGCGTTATTTGCTCTGCTTTAGATGGTCCATGAGGTCAGGGCTGATGAGAATTGTGAGAAGACACCTCTAGATAAAGGCCATGCGAGGAACCCGGGCTAAAGTCGCTTTCCCGAGCGTCTCTATGCCCCAGGACGTGGGCTCACTCCTGATGACAGGGTCTGCAGCCCCAGTCCTGGCCCCTTCTTCTGCGGCCAGGGGGGAATAGAGATCCGTGTCTTCGTCGAGGAAGCGCTTGCTGTCCTGTAACTCATTCTTCGGATGGCCATAAGTAATCTTTTCTCAAGAATTCCTGGGAAAATCCTTATCCTATTGAGGCTGATCTTTGTAACTATATTTCTTGGAGGTGGCAACTTGTTCCTAAACCTGTAGGATTCACCGCCACTCTCGTCCCAAGCCCCTGAATATTCCCCAACAAGCCCAACATCTTCAGTACCAGCCCGTTGAACTCAATGACGATCCCGTCCTGCTTCACTTCGCCAGCAACCCTGGCAAGGGCGACGTAAAGTTGTTCCATGAACCTGGATCAACCATCACTTGAGGGTTGCTCTCAGGAATGCTAGGGGCATATGGGAATCACAAGGGGATCATAGCGGTCCTCCTCACGGATTATCTTGGGAAGGTGTATGTCGGAAGGGTCTACCCATGCAACCGTTTGAAGACAAGGGCGTAAGTGCTTTCCTGTCTACTCCATGCTGACCTCCTTGCACTATCAGTGGCCATTTTCTCATTTGAAACGGAAACATACAGTCACCTCTTCCAACACAGAGCCAGGAACTTGCAAGCGGACTCCAGGTCCTTACCCGTCTCGTCATCCTTGTCCAGGGCAGCTCCCTCCTTGGCCGTCATCCCTGAGTTGTTGACCTCGCAGCCATCATCCAGGAGGATGAAGAAGGCATCCTCAAAGGGACCATGTTGTCCCCCTAAATGGAAAAGAACATGGAAAATGACATGGAAACAGGGGTTTAGGGTTTAGGGTTGCTGCTGAGGAACTTAACATAAGTTACAATAATGGGTATATATGATATGTAGTAAATAATGGGGTTCCCCAATATAGTAACTTGAATTTGGTTCCTTAACAGCAACGCAGCAAAGGGGCTGAGGTGATGGGATCAAGGCGGGCGGAACTGCGATGAAGTGATCCCAGCCGTGCCCTTAACTTACTGGGTCTTAGTAAGGACTAAGGATATGTATTGTATATGGCTTACCCTAAACCCTGATCCCTAAAAACTCCTAGACTCTTAGACCCTAAACCCTTAACCCTAAATCCTAAGTTAAGGCACGCAAAGTCTCCCAATTTCAGCTCCGGAGTCCTTTACAGCACTGTAGCCGAAGCCGTGGCCACGCTCACCCTGGTATGGATCTAAGCCTGAAGGGTTTAGGGTTTAGGGAGTACTATTTTGGGACCCCCAAAATAGGGATTCTAGTAAGGATTACAGTAGATTAGGGGCTATATCCAGGTCCCAAGATTAAAGATTAAGATATATTGGGGTCTATTGTGTTGTCCCAATTTTGAAGATTTTAGGTCCCAATAACAAGGGTTAGAATATATTAGGGTCTATTTTGGGTCCCCCTATTTTGGGAAACTACCGCCTTGCGTGACAAAAGGCACCAAAGCCGGCGCACCCTGTGGCAAGTGCCGCCAGCTCTCTACGCCAACCACCAGGAGGTCGCAAAAGAAGCTCTTCACAAACCTATGCTCTGCCGTTTAGGGTTTAGGATTCTCCCGTGAGGCCTCTCAACATTCATTGCACTTCTTTCCTGCCTGTTTTAACAGATAGACCGAAACTAAAAGGCCTTCCAAGGAGACTCGAGTAACTCCTTGCCGTCCCGAGTCCGTCCCAGCTGATACTCACGAATATCCAACGCAGCCATGCGAGTACCAAACTTCTCCCCTATCCTGTCCGACTTCTGCATCCTCACTTGAGGCTTTAGGGTCTCCCTAGACTCTTAAACCCTACCCCTTTTGTTGGGTACTTAACTTTATGTCATGTATGTGTTATATACAAGACTAGGTACCCTAAAAAAGGCAGGGTTTTAGGGTTTAGGTAGGGTTTAGGGGTAGATACTACTGATACTACTGGAGCTTCCAGTCCCTAAGTTTGCTTATTGATGCAGCCGTCCTGACCATGACACCACTTATACCTATAGTCCCCCTTAAGTAGATAGAATATGGGGTATATGGGCATCTTACTTTCATATACCCAAAGCCATATATAACTACCTGTCAACCTTCAAGTACCCCAGCCTAGGGTGGAAAACACAACAACACAACATGCAAGAAGCGCGGAAAGACCCGAAAGCTTGCCTTAACCGCTATAAGCCCTATAAGCCCTATTTATACACCCTATAAGCCCTAGCTCAGCTTGTGCCCGAGATCTGAGTGTACACGCCAGGAGCTCCCTGCAGAACCACAATGAAGCCCGTGATGTAAGGAAAGTGGAATAGAAGGCCTTCTAGGAACATCTGATGTCGATCACCGAATCCGAAAACCTGGGGCTTGATGCTTCAACGCCATTGGCACCAAGATGTACCAAGATTCCCAATACCCCCCGGTTGTAAAACAGCATGCGAGAACTGCGGTGAGGCTACTACATTGATCATCATACCAGGCCATTCATACACAAGGCCCGAACTCCGAGACCTTAACGTTCATCGCCAAACCCGAACGCAACTCGTGAGGTGCAGGAACTGGACTCTGGCCAGTTTGTACGTACAGGACCCTACGCCCGCAGTAGGGAAGCAACATCTGTGATTGCACAGACTTCTTGCATGGCACTGATATTCAAACAGCAAGGAACTTATGCCTTCGAAGCAGAAGAGCTTTCCACAAACAACATGAAGAAAAATCCCAGTACTCAATAAGGGTTATAGGGTTTAGAGCCATGTTGGACCCAGGGACACAGAGCTGGATTGAAGCTAAACCACCGAACTGTTGCCTGCAAAAGTTGGCTCGGAGAACGGGTTTAGGGTTTAGGGTTTTTAGGACTATATTAAGGTTATGTTGGGGTTGTATAGGGATAATGGAAACTACTATAATGGGTTATATAGGGTTTAGAGAAAGTGCTGGGGCTTAGGTAAACCTGAAAGGGTCCAAGTAGCTCAATAGTGAGGCTTTAGGATGGCAAACATGAATATTTGGCTACTTGGACCCTTAGGCTAAGGGAAAGTCAGATGCACAATTTATGGACGTTGGGAGTAGCAAAAATTGTTTGGGTTGGAGAATGTTTCCGGAGCATGTTCTAGGATTTGTTCCGAGATATGTGTCAGGATAATTACGTTTCAGGGTATATTGCGGGGTATGCTTCGGAGGATCCAGTTCTTGTTTAAAGGAATGTTGGGGGAAGACATGTTTCGGGTAAGTTTCAGATTCTGTATGGGCTATGCTTCGGGGCATGCTTCACGGAAGTCAACCGTGTATCTTTGCCTACACTCCCGACCCCTCATGTTTGGAAAGAGCCATATAGAACCAGACTTACCATGCTGGCTGTAACTAGGGCTAAAGGAACGGCAAGAAAATGGAAGCTAGGTTTAAGGCTCAGGGTTTGGGGCTTAAGTGGACAAAGGTTTAGGGAATGGAAAATCAAATCATAAAGCAAGTGGACAATTGAATGGAAGTTGGGGAGGGGGGGACATAGATGTAAGGAAGTATTGTGCATAGGGTTTGCCATTGTCTTGCCGGTTGTTGGTAAGGACTGAAGTAGTGGAACAGAAGCATGCAAGGTATCATTTGAGGTCTATAGACAAGAAAAGAAAACGCAAACAGCTACCTTATTGAAGATTATATGGGGGCTACTGTTGGATCCATTCCTCCATGCCCTACTATCAACTAGTAAGGGATTGGATGAACATCTAGGGCATGTGATGCGGGCGTTGCTGATGGCTTAGGGTTGTCTAGATTTGGGCGAAGCTAAATGATATACGGCGTTCTAGTTCTAATCCCTTTCGCTGCCTGCGGAAAAGCTCGTGGAAGCTCCAGAAGTCTTGATAACGAGACGACTGGAAAGTGGATTGGAAGCCCTCATGCAGAAGTTGGAAGTGCCGGGTGCGCGCCATTGTAGACCTCCCAGCATAATGAAACACGAAGAGGCTCCTCTGCTCCAGAGCCGAGGGGATCCTGTGGTGATTGACGCGAGGGGTCGGCAGAATGACAGTCTTGGATTTCATCCCCATGAGGTCATGCTTATGAGCCACTGTAAGACAGTATTGCTCTGTCCAGTTCAGATACTCCTGGCACTCAGGGAAGTAATACATCTCCAGCAGGAACTGGCGTGTCCATGGACTGTTTCTAAACAAAACAGTTGCTCCATCCATCAGCTCCTCTCTTTGCATGGAAGGGAAGTCTGGCCATATATCTTGTGCAAATATCTCAGCATCTAGATGAGAATCAATGTCAAAGACCTCTTCCAGTGTTTTCGTCTGGTCATAGATGACAGCATCCGCGTCGATCCAGAACACGAAGTCATAGTCTGCCAAATGAATTAGTATAGCATGAATCCTGAGTTCCTCTCTCCTAGGAAGAGAGAAGATCCGTTTCGTATTGCATAAAACCCTCCGTAACATGAACCCTAACCCCTGCTTCCTATAACCCTCACAATTCCCAGTTTCCATGTCCTCCATGACCAGAAGAGACTCTAATCTCTTCCCTCTACTGGAACGCACCCAATTCCAAAACTACTAAACACACCCTATTTTAGCTATATACGTGTAATAGGCGCACCTAACTTAACATTCACCTCTGCTGAGACTAAACCCAAACTGTGTGGCCCAGAATCTTAGACCAGTGAGGGACCCTTGAGTGGTCGATAACATGGTCCAAGATATGAAAGCCGTAACCATGCTCTTCTGCATACTGCCTGGGCTACGAAATAGAAATGAGGGTTCCCTTAGCCCCTAGAGGTCATAGGGGTGTAACAGGGTTTAGGGGGTGTTTGGTTTGGAGTTCTGATGAAAAATACCCACCTGTTGCCCGCTGCTGTCACATTGGCATAAGCCAGGATCTCTGGGGAGTGCATGGTGACCTCAGTCTCAGACTCAGTCCGAGCTGTCTGCTCATCCCCTAGTACGGTACTCTAATATTGCCAGGGGAAAGGGGTGCTTTATACTCGGGGGGAAGGAAGTTTGGGATCTCAGGATGTTGAAGGGATGCCTCACTTTATTGGAGTACCGAGTGTTGTGGTTTTGAAAGTGAACCAGCCTGCAGAGCTGTCAACTGAGGACATGGCGATGCCAAAGCGCGGTCTTGACTTGCAGCACGCACTCAGCAAAACGACCCAGACCAAAATGCACTTCATGGCGATCTGATGCAAGAAGCCTCATCCAACGCAGCTTGCTGGAGCTGTATAAGGGCAGCTCTTTGGCTCGATGGCTAGCTGCTAGCTGAAGCTGTGCATCTGGTCTATCCTTGACGCAAATGCAAAGAATGGCTGCCGAGCCTGCAAATCACAGCGGCTCGAAACCGCTAGGAAAGGTTTGGAGAAATGAGAGAACAAGAAGAAACCACACCGTCTATAGTGCCATGCTTGCTATTGTCCCAGTGAGTGATTCCAGTGTCCGTGGTAATAGTCGCAGCAGTGGTACTGTAACCATGAATGGTAATAGCTACGGCGGCCATAAGCGCAAGCATGGCCGTGATGATGATCATGATGATGATGATGATGATGATGGTGAGGAGCAGGAGAAAGACTGTGATAACGACGATCGGCTTCATTGCAATGGTGCAGATGTGTCGCAAGCGCGCGGACCGTGGGTTCTGTGTCGGTTCCTGCCTGGTCGAGTGGTGAGCTGTCCATATCAGCAACAGGCAACATGTGTTAATCACTCGTGTTCCACGTCGCAGGCAAACGGTCAACTTTTTTGCAGCATCGCAACATTAGCCTGAAGAGCTGAGAGACTATGCCGGAGCGTTGAAATGGCATCCGGTTTAAAAACAAAGTCTTAAAGAAGAGCACATTTGCTCGTTCGTCCCCCCTCGTTGCAGCTTAGGATGTCGAAGATTTCAAGACAAGACCAAAGAGATCTCTGTAAGCCACAATACCTAGCCACATCCATTGCTAGAGAGGCATGCGGAGCAAATGCACAAAACTATTCTCCGCCAGTCCTGCGGTCCCGTGAAGATCTATGGTTCAATCCTGATGTCAAGAGTTTCCCTTGCCGAAAAGTTCTAGGCACGAATAGGAGATACTAGCTTCTGTATGGAGATGTGTGTTCATAGCGTCACCAGGGAGGGCTCCAGATGCCAAATGATCCAGAATGACCCGGAAGTCTCTCTACCGTTTTTTTTTTTTTTTTTTTNNCGTTTTTGTCTTTCTTTTTACAGGAAATGTTCATGCTGACGTGCCTGAAATCCAACCCTGCTGCCATCAAAGACTCCACCATGTGAAAAACAGCACGCCCTACAGTGCTGGAATCCGCATAGTTTTCCAACATCCAATCGTCTTGACGGGAGACCCCCGAAACCCTTACGAGGGAGCCCTGATTTGGACACAGACGTGCTGCATCTTCATGATCCCGTGTGGGGGCCCTCCAACCTCCCTCTAACCTGCTGTTGTCCTAAGGATCCCATTTGGATCTACGCTACACTCTGATTCCCACTTGCTGAAAAAACCCAGCACCCACAAACTTGACCTCGCTCAGAACAAGGTCATCCAAACAGGTCTCCTTCCTCCTCCTTTTCTGCCTCCATGGACGGCACGTGGTGCACTGTACCACATAAGAGAACTCAAAAAAAGCACTCACAGATAGTTGCTATGTATCAAGGCTGCCTTGTTGACTGTTTCGGGATCAATCGGGGGCACCCAGCTTTAGTATACAGTATCATGAACGAACCTTTGCCTCCGCTGCTTTAGTATACAGTATCATGAACGAACCTTTGCCTCCGCTGCTTTAGGCTCCTCTTTCTCGGTCGATGCAGGCTCCTGGCCACTTCGCGTCAGATTTGAGAACGCACACGACTAGCCTCCTACCCTTCACCACATTGGTCTTTTTAACCTCCTAAGCCTAAAGCCTGTAGCCTTTCTTTCTTTTCAGATGCACAGGGCAAGACCTTCAAGAATGACATTCAACTTGGGCGAAAACTCTTACCACCCCCCAAATGTCAGGATGCTGCTCACTTTGGGGACCCTTAGAGGACACATAGGTCTGAGAACTCAACACAGTAGGGGCGTTTTACGTGGAATAGGGATTTGGTGGCATGATATACTAGAGTTATATGGGGGTTTCTATAAATGTGGGGAAACCAATGTATACCCGAAATACTGTAATCCTCCGGATGGGCTGTCCCCCGTTTCACCTAATAAACAATGCCTCTATACACCCCTATCCTTGGCCCTGAATCCTCATCCTGGAACCCTAGACACTAAAGAGCGACTTTTAAGGGGGAGAGCCCTAAACCCTAAACCGGGACGGCCTCAGCAGGTTCCGAGGTCTTTGCTTTGGGCAGCTGTGGGGCCTCATACAGGTCACGCACTCGGCTTAAGATCTAGGATCTAGGGGTTACTAGGGTAGATTTAGGAGGCCCATGGCTTTAGAAGGCTTATCTAGGAATTAAGGGCGGCAGAAAAAAAATCAAACCTGCCCCTGTTTGGGGATTTGGAATTACCTTTTGGGGTCTGGGCCACCGCTTAATTAGTGTCTAGAACCCAGCAAACCAACATTGGCCAATTTTGGCTTCCTAGTTGGGGGTGACAATCGTAAGGACGAGAATACTTTGGGGTCCATATTGAGGCCTCCTTTTTCTGGAAGCTGCCGTTCCACTATGAAGGGAGAAATCGGGATGAAAGCGAGCATGCATGGGTTTAGGGTTTAGGGTTTGGCTAAGTGCGTGTATTGATTTGTTTCCTGCGCTCTTTTAGCTCCTTTGTCTGGGGAAGTGTACGCGTGAGGAAAAGTAAGGAAATGAGGAACAAGGCAAGGGATGAAGAGCCTGCAATTACAGAATCTTTCGTAGTACTATCATGACTACTGTTACTATTGCTACTATTGTTACTACTATTACTACTCTTATTACTATTATTAATATTATTACTACTACTACGATTATTACTATTATTACTATTATTACTATTATTACTATGATTACGATTACTTGGAATTACAGGATCTTTCAAGCTTTTTCCTGCCTAGAGCTGAATTTACGAAAGCCGCCATGGAATGAAAGCCTTCATCAACACATGTTCGTAACCACTAATCTTTTCTGTAGAGCGATTTTCCATTAGCCGTTGGTATCTTCCTGTAGCACTACCTCTATTCTAAAGCTCTGGGTGTTGGTTCCATTTGTTCATTCCCTGATTGCTGCAATAGCAGCCATCACATCCTGACCACAAAATCCTCATTGCAACGGACCCAAATCCAAAAATGTTGGTCCTCAACCCCAGAAGACCTTAGTGATTAAAATGAAGCTTGTACAGGCTACCTAAAGCCTAAACCGCAATGCCTTGCCTTGAAGGCCGGCATTTTGACATCTGGCATCTTCACATCCGGCATCTTCACATCGGGCATCTTGACGTCCGGCAGCTTGAAGTCTGGCATCTTGAAGTCAGGGACCTTTCATCTTGCTGCTTGTTGGTAGGGACTGAAAGAATGGAAAGGACAAGGAACCTACAAGTTTCATAGGGGCTTTCCACCATTCCTTACGAGTTACTGCTTGAGTAACGACCAATAAGTTATGGGAATGTGGGCGTAAGAGGTGCGGAGAGGACAAGGGGCGGGCGATCTCCAATCTAGAAGCTCTTCTTGGGAAACCTATGGCTTCGCAGAGCCTTCTTGAATCGGAGATCCTAGAGTGGCAAGCTTCAGATGTTCAGTTTAAACAACTTCCATATGGTAGTCTCCATATATAGCGGGACCCCAATATCAACCCAACATACTATAGAACTTCCTTACTATCGGAACCCCCCAAACAGGTACCGCTAATTTTGGGAAACCCCCCATATTATGTATGTATGTATGTATGTATGTGTGTGTGTGTGTATATGTATGTATGTATGTATGTATGTATGTATGTATGTATGTATGTATGTATGTATGTATATATGTATGTGTGTGTGTGTATGTATGTATGTATGTATGTATGTATGTACGTACGTACGTACGTATGTATGTATGTATGTATGTATAAATATAAATCTCTCTTTCTATCTTCCATGCTCTTTCCCATTTGATTCTCCATTATTGGGGGCCTTAACATCCAGCCTATATAGCCCCTATATAAACCCTACAATCCCTGTAGTTTCCATTTTCTTTCCATTATCCCTATATAATCCTATATATCCCTTAACATCAAGCAGCAATCCCTACCACTCCGATCGGGCAGTAGATGGCTGCAGCATGCCTAAAATTTGGGGACTGTGGTGAGAAGCCTTGAAAACGCCTGTCCTGATTCTTACACCCCAAACCCTAAAACACTCAACTCTAAGCCCTAGACCCTAAATGCTCTTTTACCCTCAACCCTGAACCCTGAAACCTCTCTAGATCCGCAATAGCTATGGTCTAAACTCCTGGTATTCCCCTTAATAACCCCTAATAGAATCCCCGAAATAATCCCTTATATAACCCCCTTGAACCTAAACCCTAAGCCCTAACCCTAAATACAGCAGATTATAGAATCCCCTGTATAACTCCCTTTAAGGATTTCAGACCCTAAACCCTAAACCCCACACCCATAGAACCCCCTTTGAGGAGTTTAGACCCTAACCCTAATCCCCTACGTAACCCCCTTTAAGGAGTTTAGACTATGGCTCATAAGATGGGAAACCCAGAAGCCTTGACGTCCGGCAGCTTGATATCCGGAGTCTTCACATCTGGGATCTGGACCTAAGCCAAGGTTTTAGGGTTTAGGTCAGGGCTTAGGATTCTAGGGCTTAGGGTTTAGGATTTAAGGTTCAGGGCCTAGGGCTTAGGGCTCTAGGTTTTAAATTTCAGGGTTTAGGATCAGGGCATTTAAGTTCCCAAACCGGCCAAGTAACAACAAACAACTAAGATGATTTGTGCCTAGAGCAGCTCTCGTGCAATCACT